CCTACACGATACTTCTCAGCTTCTAAAGTCCAAACATCGAGCTTCCAACCATCGGAATATGGCGAAACCAATGGAAGTGTGTTCAAAAGATTCAGTTTCCTCACACCATCTTCCCCTAACCCCAAATCTTTTCCATGTTTCACGGGAAATTTAAAGGCTTTTTTAGCTTTATCTTCATCTACCATAAACTGCCTTTCGAGCTCGCTTACGCCAAGAGCTGGATCCCAATTCACCAACTCGAGAACCCTTTTCCCGTCTTGTCCCATCACGACCCGGAAATAATCCGGGTATTTCCCGACCCGGTCCCTGAAATCCTCTGGGATGCCAAAAAGCAGTCGGGTATGGTAAATTTTGCTGAGTGGAATCCGTTTATCCTTGGACATCATCAGAAGCTTCCGAACCCTATTGACCCGATCAAGCTCCATAGAATCCATAATCGCTCTTTCCTCATCCAGCAGATCCTCCATGAACTCCGAGAACCCAAACCACATCTTCCCGTCGGTGTGACGGTAAGTCTGGAAGATAAGAGGGTGGCGCGTGAGGAAACGTGCCACCTTGCGCCCGCGCGGGAAACCCATCTCACGATGGAGCTTGCCGGCGTCATCGAGCCGGAGAATCCGCTCGGGCTGCTTCGAGAGGAACTCCTTGGATCGGGTCAGGAACCGGAAATGGGCGTCACGCCCAACGAGCGATTCGAAGTGAGCGACTCGGGTCGAATCCGGTTGCACGGGTTTGGTTCGAGGCGAATCCGGCTTCTTACGCTTCTTCCGATACTTCTTCGGCGTTTTGGTTATGAGAAAGGAGGTGGAGAATGGCAGGGTCCTTAAATTAGGGTTAGGGTTTTGAAAACTCGGCGAAATTCTCCCGGGCAGAGACTGAAGCAGCTGATTCTCAGATTTTAGGGCTTTTGAAAATAACCGGAGAGACGCCATTTTCTTCAACACAACGTAAAAAAGAGCTTACATTCAGAATATATCACATAATTATGTGTAAAAATAAAATAAAAAGAGAAAATTAATGTCCACGACCAGGCGGGAATTCAAAATGGGTCCACACATCATATAGCCCAACAACAATTACGCCCACGTTTTGGGCTTCGATTTGGCCCGTTAAGAGTTGTAACGATATGACATTAGGGCCTTTAGGCCCACATAGGATGCAGACCAAGAGATACATAGGTCCACATAGGACGCAGACCAAGAGATACATACATAGGTCATGGTTGTGTTTGTGTATTAGGACAATCGTATGATATAGTTCGAAATGCCATATATGTTAAATTTGTGGTATTTCTTTTACATAAATACTCAACAAAATTCTATATGAAATATAAAAGAATACATAGAATAGTGACAAAAAATAGCAATAATGCCTTGAGTTTTCCATTCAAATTCAACCAAATAACATGCGCATATACAAAGAACTTAAATCAAATCAATAAACTAACAAAACTAAATATTCTATCATAGATATTTATCCATATCTTTAACAATTTGTATAATCACGGATATGAATAAGTTCAAAGTGTAATTCTTCCGTATTAGGACAACTAGGTGTATCATGATCCCAAACGCAAACCTATAGCAGAAAAATCGGATACCGATATAAACAAAAAGAGTTAAAAAAAAACATTTCCATACACTATTGGATGAATATTGTATATGAATATGGAAAGAAATGTATCTCACCTTATGCAAATGCAAAATGTATTATAATTAGGTTACCCTAAATAGCATGTCAAACCAATGTTGCCAAAGTAGAGGTGTTGACTGTTAGAGACAAATAAACAGGAACTACATGCGAAGGGGACGTAGTTTCGTAGTTCAAGAATGCATTTATTATATTACCCAAAACTACCATTTCTATATAATAAAAAACAAAATTATTCATAGTACACGTATAATATATGGTAGAAACCTAAATGTTCAAGAAAATTCCAAAGATTTTCGATACCCTGCAATGAAATTCTTGCCAAAAATTGGAGGGTGTGGTCCACAGAATTTAAGGTGCTTCACAATGTGATCTATTTATAGGCAAAGAAATGAAACAGAGGAGATTTATGAGCCTCTTGACAAAGGTTGTTTTCACTCAACCACATGTATTATCCAGCCAAACCCTACTCATGTTGAAACCCCTAATCTCATTCATGCACACCTTCGGTACGTATATATTATATGATCGTATATACATTATACACCTTAACGATTGGCTTGTGTATTGATCGTGTATTCATGACTCTTTTCGCATTATTTTCGATAGCAGATCCGCTTCGTATACGTATAATAACTCGTATTTATACGATACGTCTCCATTGAGCTCGGAACGAAAAGAACTACACATGTGATTTGATTTGGTACCTACAGAAGATTATTAGTTAGGGATAGTTATTGTAGCATTAAATACTGCGTAGAGCAATCATTATATAAAGCCATCTTATAGGTTAAAATAAGATTCCGAAACAAACATTCCCCTTTGCGATCTCTCTTTCTCTCTCTCTAACTATTGTTCTCCTTGTTTCAAATGGATCCACAAGAACAAATCTCATCAAGCTCCTCTTCCGGAAACCCTAGAGATGATCTGAAACCGTTATACCTCTTCCCAAACACGCCCTTAAACCCTATTTACGACGACTTCATTGAGCCTTTACCTCTCATCGATCTGATCAACTCAAATACTAATAAAGAAGAGGAAGAGGACGAGGAAGAAGATGATGAAGAAAACGAGTACGAGAATGACGATGAAGTGAACTTGTCCTTACACATCGGCCTTCCTGAGTACTATCCTTCAAAATGTAAGAAGAGGAGGAGGAAGAAGAAGAAAAAGGAGAAAGAGAAAGAGATCGCCATTGATGAGGTTGGAGAAGGTCACGTGGTTTCCGGCAAGCCGTACTGGATTCCGACAGCGGAGCAAATACATATAGGGTTTACTCATTTTACTTGCCATGTCTGCTTCAAGTCATTCAACCGCTACAACAACCTTCAGGTATACGTTGACTCTAAACTACATGCATACATATCTGCATGCATAAACTACAGGAAAATACGCACGTAGATACAACATAAACAATCATCATCTTCGCGTTTATATATAATATAGCACTATCTTTTTTGGGTTTATTTGAATTTATTTTTCTAAACATTTTTTCTGTGTAATGATTTTGAAAAAGTGATTGTTAAGGTTTGAAACGTGATCTAGGATCTTGAATTCTTGGTCAATTCTGAGATTTTGAGTTCAACCCATATTTAAAAAAAAAAATTGTTTTGAGTGATAAATATTTTCCACCAACAAAAAAAATGAAAACCGTTGATTTAGTGAAATAAATCGGCGAAATAGTTCAGCGTTTTAATTATATCTATCTAAAAAATAGCAAATTTATAAGAAAGCAGGCAATGAAATCCAATATAGTTAATAGAATTTATATCGATTATAACATAAATATATAAGTCAAACTAGATCGTATAAACCAACGGATTAATTAAAAGAAAATGAAAATGTGACAGTTAAATTATACAAAGTAACGGAAGATGTTAAAAGGTTAGATACTCTTATCCAAACACATGTTCTTCTCCAAACCCTCCACTTCTTTTGCCTTCCGAAATCAATGTGATACGATACAAACACTTTCGTAATACGTATATATATATATATACATATATATATATATAATTAATAATCTTGTTTATCACATGGCAGATGCACATGTGGGGACATGGTTCACAATACAGAAAAGGCCCAGACTCACTAAAGGGCACACAACCACGAGCAATGCTAGGGATCCCATGCTTCTGCTGCGTCGAGGGCTGCAAGAACCACATCGACCACCCGCGTTCCAAGCCGCTAAAAGACTTCAGAACGCTCCAAACGCACTTCAAACGCAAACACGGCCACAAACCCTACGCCTGCCGCTCCTGCGGCAAGCAACTCGCCGTCAAGGGCGATTGGAGAACGCACGAGAAGAACTGCGGCAAACGCTGGGTCTGCGTTTGCGGCTCCGATTTCAAACACAAGCGCTCCCTCAAGGACCACGTCAGGGCCTTCGGATCCGGTCACGGTCCGTACCAGACCGGGCTGTTCGACGACAATGTGGCGGTTCTTGATCGCGCCACTTCGTCTTTGTCCGAGACTAACGTGTTCTCGTACAACAGCTACAGGTAGACGACGTCGTTTCATTGCATGGATTTTGGATTTTTCGTCACGTGCGGTTTCGTAAGTGATGATGATTTGGATAAGATTGTTCTACTGTTGTGGGTTGCATGTGTTTAATCCGGATTCCGAAGTGCTTATAATATAGAGTAAGCTATGTTCGATGGATTGGTCTTTTCGAGTGCTGTCTCGTCAATAAACTATGTGTTCTTATTTAAATCTCTATACGATCATTAATGAAATAGATTAATCAAATAAAAATCTGAAAGCGACATTTATTCACTTATCTTAGAAGTTTATTGTTAAACATTTTTAACTTATTGTGAAATAAAAATTCAGATCAAGGGTCGACTTTAAATTGGTACCAATGTTATTGTTTCTGTCTTTAATCTTTTTATTGCTTCCATTTACATTTATATTTGGTGTACTTCAAAACCGAATAGAGCCGAATTCAATATGTAAATTTTGCGACCGAAATGAATCTAATCATAAATTAATCGGATATAAATTCTTTATTGAATTAATCCAACTACAGCTATAAATTTGAATCACATGTAAAAATAATTAAATACAAACTAAACTATTTTTTTAAATAGCATTTTTCGAAAAGTTCTATTACAAATGGAATACGCACTAAATAGAAAATAGAATAAATTATCATATATACATACTTTGAAGTTTTTTATAAATGAAATGAATGGAGATATTTTTATAAGTTATTCTCCAATTTGTTTATAAAATTTACATATGGCTTTTTAAATGTTACAAAAAATTTCAATCCTATAAATAAGAGTCTTGTTTTCATTTTTCAAAACACACAAAAAACAAAACACAAATCAAAACCAAGAGTTTTCTAAAAGAAAGAAAACACATATTTTTTCCTTTGTGATTCAAGTCGTTTTTTGAGTTCGACGAGATGGCGGAGTTTGAAGTAGCATTGTTCCGGTTAGTACGTCCGTCCTATCGTAGGAGGATATATTTCATTTAACCATAGATACCGCACGAGGAATAATTTCCTTAAAGAGACACGGTTCGTTATGGGTCCAGATTTGGTTTTCCGGTTTAAAAAAACATATTGATATAATGATATTGGTTTGATCATAACTTTCTATACCGTTATCGGAATTGTATGTTCTTGACGTCTTTTTGTAGATATCGAAATTATCTTTCTAATGGTGTATAACATGTATGATTTGGTCGTATATTCTGGAAGTTATTAAGCTCGAAGTTCTTGGAATGAAACTGGAAGTTAATAAAACATGAATATGAGAGAGATATAAAATAACACACCCAACAATATATATATATATATATATATATGAAGATTTACACTTTCTTTTTATTTGAAATATATGTGCACACAAGTTACGTTGAATATATATAAATAAAAGGATGAAATTGTATATTTCTTTATCGGCAATTTATTAAATTGTAGTCGCAAGTATCCAAGAAAGTGGTGCATGAATGGTCCACAGATTAATATTCTATCTTTTTTTTCTCCCACATTATCGTATTTCGTAAAAGTAACGAAACCACATTTAATTCCATTAAAAATTACTAAAAAACTAATTAAATTAGTTAGCTGAACCAAGCATGTGATAAGGATTAAATTAATCACAATACTTAAGCATTTCATGCCATAAATATTTTAAGAAATCGATTAGTTGATAATTGTTTTTCAAGTGTTGTTTCGCTATATCGGTGTTAGATTTTTAGATTTTACAGTATAAGATATGGAGAAATTTAAATAAATGGTCACACCATTTATCGAAACTCAAATTTGGATCGGGTTTAATGTTTGGTATCCAACCAATAGAGTGAACCCCAAACGATTTACTTTCTAATTTATCTATAAACTATTAATTAAAATATTTATAATACCAAGTTTTAAATGAATTATTCATAATACGATTTTTTTGGTAAAATATTTATGCATCTACGCACCATTTTTTGTTATTTCCTATTTGAGGACTTTTCTTTTGTCTCCCGTTTTTCAACAGTGTATTTGAGTATTTATTATTAATGACTTCGCAATAATTAATTTAACTTGCTAAATTATAAAAATTCCAATCAATATATATATATATATATATGTATATATATATATTCTTTTAACAAATTGTATTAGAAAACAAGTTCTTAATTTCAATATATATTCCTCATGCAGCTTTCTAAAGGGAACAAGGACAGCTACGAGGCTTCAGTCAATCCAGACAACAAGAATCACCACCTTTTTTTATATTCAAAGTTCAACGGTTCTTATATTTCAAATTATTAACAAATTTAGATTGGTATTCATAATCACTAACCATACAAACATATATATTGTTTTCATAAATCAATACACTTTAACGAATTTTATAAACTTATGGAATTTCCAGATCTTTCACCATATATGGTATACGTATTTACATAATAAGTTACTAATATTTTCAATAAAAAAATTTCGTTTAGTAAAAAAAAAATGAAATAATCAGGTATGGACATGTCTCAAGCCAAAGCCATGCGACACGCTGAAGCTGTTTTTACATATGATGTATATTCCATTTTTGCCGGAATATAGGGAATTGATTTTAAAATGTTATGATAATTATAACTAAATAAACAAAAAAAAATATTAAATTTAAAAAATAACGTTTGCCATGAATTGATTTTTGAGTAATATGCACTTCATCCAATATATAATTTGCAGTCGCAAGTGTATCATAAAGTTTCAGTACATTAGCTTGCTCCAGCTATAATAGCGAATGCCGCGCAAGCTTCACGAGCTTTGTGCCGCTTCTCATACATGGGCGCGTGAGGTCACGTGCCACGGAGGAGTGGCTCACATTGGATACTCCCTCGCCCAGTAGATAATCGCCAGCTGGACACCCAACCATTAAAAAGTTCAGAAAATGTTCCAGCCTGTCCAAGCTCCCAACGTAGCTTCGACCTCCCGAAATTAGCCTTCCAAAAATATCCGCGAGTTCATCTAGGAAAGGGCTTTTCCGTCTTTTCTGGTGTAAGGCTGTAACTAAGCTGTACATATATTACGCACACGCTTTATCGGTACGGTCAAATTTGATTCCTCCCTTTTTTTCTTTTTCTTTTCTTTAAATAATATAATTCCACTTTTACAATTACCAAAAACGTTTTGAACTCTGGAAACTGATCAAACAATTACAAAAAAAAATACAGAAGCTTTGTTAAAGTCTATAACTGAATTACAAAATTATTGATAATTAATATCACGACTGCGAATACATTGCAAGCATAATGAAAGTATGTTTGCAATTTATTCACATTTGTGATATTTACCAAAAATAATAATGAAGGTAGATGTGTAACACCATATTTGAATCGGAGACACAGTTCAGTAGCTGGCAAAAGGTACAACAACTAAGCCCATTCCAAATCCCCATGACCTTTTTTTTTCCCCTTACCTATTTCTATGCAGCTTCCTCTTCTTCCACTTTAAACCATAAAGTCCATCTCTTTTTTTTTTTCCGTGTATAATTAATTATAGATTATAGAAATTATTTTATAACTTATTTTTCGCAGGTATATATACCCCCCATCACACACTCCTTCACCTCACACCAAAACCCAAAACCCGAACAAATCATCGACTAAGCATTCCCAGCTTCTTCTCCCTCGTCCCTGAGTTTTTTCTTCAAATTTGAATCCAAAAGATGGGATCTTTTCTAGTCAATCTCTTCTTGTTCCTGTCTCTGTTCCAAATCTCTGTCTCTGCTCGGAGATTGGAAGAGACAGAGCAGTTCCGGCTGCTGAAATACCACAATGGCCCTCTTCTCTCCGGCAAGATCACCGTTAACCTCATATGGTACGGCAAGTTCAAGCCTTCTCAGAGAGCCATCGTCTCGGATTTCATCACCTCCCTCTCTCATTCTCCCGCCAACACCCACCAACCATCCGTCGCCACGTGGTGGAAGACCACCGAGAAGTACTACAAACTCGCCTCCGGCGACAAGAAGAACCCATCTCCTCGGCCTTCTTTGTCGATGTCCCTCGGGAAACAGATCCTCGACGAGGGTTATTCTCTGGGTAAGTCCCTGTCGGAGAAACAGATCCTCAAGCTCGCCTACAGAGGCGACCAGCACGACGCGGTCAACGTCGTTTTGACCGCCAATGACGTCGCGGTCCAAGGCTTCTGTATGAGCAAGTGCGGGACCCACGGGTCGGCTCCGGGTCGATCCTTGAAGGGGAAACGGAGCTCCAAGTTCGCGTACATCTGGGTCGGTGACTCGGCGACTCAGTGCCCGGGTCAATGCGCGTGGCCCTTCCACGCACCGGTGTACGGACCACAGAACCCGCCGTTGGTTTCGCCAAACAACGATGTGGGCATCGACGGAGTGATCATCAATCTGGCGAGTCTTTTGGCGGGAGCCGCCACGCAC